AGCTCGACATGAAGAACGCCTTCTTGCAGAGCAAGCTCGACAGGGTGCTCTACATGTCCCAGCCAGACTACTTCAACGACGCGATCGGCCGGGTGTGCAAGCTGCTGAAGAGCCTGTACGGGCTAAAGCAGTCGCCGCTGCTGTGGTACTTGGCGCTCAATGACGTGCTGGTCGGCGCCGGGTGGAAGAAGAGCCAGGTCGACGAGGCTCTCTACTGCAAGGTCGGAGAGGACGGAGTGGCTTGCTGGGTGCTGGTCTACGTCGACGACCTACTTGCCGCCAGCAGTAGCACCGCGATGTTGAAGGAGCTGAAGGAGCTGCTGGAAGCCGCCTTCGAGCTGCGTGAGATCTCGCCGGTGCAGAAGTACCTCGGGCTGGAGATCGTCCGCGACAGGTCGGCGGGGAAGCTGTGGCTGCACCAGCAGGGCTACGCCGACAAGCTGCGTAGGCGCTTCATCGACGAGGAGCAGACCGGGCGCACCCCGAAGACGCCGGTCTCTGTCGCCGCCTACGCTGAGCTCACGTTCGATGATGAGGAGGCACAGGAGCGGCAAGAGGAGGAGTACCGGCAGAAGGTCGGCTCGCTGCAGTTCGCGGCGACGACGACGAGGCCGGACATCGCCTTCGCCTGCAGCAAGCTGGGGAGCGGTCTCACGGTGAGGAGCGACCAGCACTGGCGTGAGGTCGACCGCTGCCTCGTCTACCTCGCCAATACGCGTGACACCGCCCTGGAGTTCGGCGGTGGACCTGAGTCGCTGGACCTGGTCGGCTACGTGGACGCCGACGACGCCGGTGACAAGCAGAACAGGACGAGCACGAGTGGCTACGTGTTCGTCTATGGAGGGGCTGCAGTCTCCTGGTCGAGCCAGCGCATCAAGTGTGCGACGTTGTCGTCGACTGAGTCGGAGTACGTGGCAGCCACCGAAGCCGGCAAGGAAGGACGTCGACTTCGTTTCCTCCTTGCAGAGTTCCGGCAGCTGGATGCCGGGAAGCCGACCGTCCTTCGGGTGGACAACAAGTCGGCTATCTCAGTCGCCGAGGGCATGGGGTTGACGGGCAACCTCAAGCACATGGAGCGGCGACAGGCCTGGCTGCAGCACATGGTGAAGCGCGGGAAGTTCTCGTTGAGGTACATCCCAACCACTGAGCAGCCGGCCGACTTCCTGACGAAGGCGCTGCACTATCCGGCCTTCAACCGGTGCTCCGTCGCAATCGGCCAGGTGCGCTTGGCCGACGTGGGCGACGGCGACAACGACGTGCAGCAGTAGGTGCCATGCCCTCTTGCATGGCTGGTGCGGTGGACGACGTGCGGTGTGTTGGGTGCACGTCGACGAGCTATTCTCCGAGGAGTACTGCCGAGTGGACTTGAGGGGGACCAAGCGTGAACGCGGCAGGGGAGTGTCAACGGGAGTTGTATGTTGGCCCCGTCCACGCTTGGGCGGAGCCGACATCGTGGTCGGGTGTTAGGGGAGCAGCCGACCTGCAGCAGTGGGCGAGCTGGTCGACGAGGAGGTCGACCTGCACGGGGACCACTGCACGGGCGCCGACTTCGGGGTGGCGCCAACTTCGGGGAGGTCGACTTAAGCGTCGACCTGCGGAGGACGTCAACTTGGGAAGCCGACTTTGGTGGTCGGCTGATGTGCTGGTCGACCTGCGGGTGGTTGACTGGACCGGTGGTCGACGAAGGAGGGGTCGACGTCGAGTAGCAGGACGTCGAGCAGTCAGGACGTCGAGCAGTCGGGCGTCGAGCAGTCGGGCGTCGAGTGACATGGTCGTCGACCGAGGGGCATGGTCGACCCGGTGAGGTCGACAACGAGGTGGTCGTCGACTTGGGAGGTCGACGGACACGTACGGGAGTTGCTGGTCGATGTGGTTGCCCGGTCGACCAGGTTACCTGGGTGACGAAGTGCTGCGGAGGAGTGCGACGGTCGCCCAGGCGAAGCTGGCGAGACCGACCTTGGTGGTGGTATCACGAGGTCGTCGTGGCAGATCAGAGGTAGCCGTCAGCCCGAGGCTGACGTGGTGTGTGTGTGCTGTGCAGGTGATGAGGCTCGGCATACCAATCATCTGCACGCACCTGCAAAGCGGGTGCACTGCTGGCACACCGTCGACCTGAAGCATTGGCAAGCTGTCGACTTTGCTCTGCTGGAGCGCGGTCGACCAAGTCGTGTTGGAATGCGGTCGACCATGCTGTGCTGGCAGTTGACCAACCTGAATGCTAGCTCTGATGTAGTCTTGCATTGCCAACTTCATTGTACCATTGTTGTGATCTTTTCTTAGTGAAACTCTTGCCAAATTGCCCCGTGAACTAGCAAGCAGTGTTAGCACTAGGAAAACGTCTAAGGACCAACGAACGCAGAGATCACACGAGCACACGTGCCTAGCCAGTAGTCTAGCTCCCGTTGTAGTAGTTATCTCCGCAGCAAGCTCCTGGACCAGGCAAGCTCCTCGACCAGGCAAACTCTTGGACCAGGCAAGCTCCTGGACAACCCAAGCTTCTTGACCAGGCAAACTCGTGGACCAGGCACGCTCCTGGACCAGGCAAGCTCCTGGAATAGGCAAGCCCCTAGACCAGGCAAGCTCCTGGACCAGGCAAGCTCTTGGACCACGCAAGCTCTTGGACCAGGCAAGCTCTTGGACCAGGCAAGCTAGTGGACTAGGCAAGCTTCTGGACCAGGCAAGCTCCTGGACCAGGCAAGCTCTTGGACTAGGCAAGCTCTTGGACCAGGCAAGCTTCTAGACCAGGCAAACTCGTGGACCAGGCACGCTCCTGGACCAGACAAGCTCCTGGACCAAGCAAGCTCCTGGACCAGGCAAGCTCTTGGACCAAGCAAGCTCCTGGACCAGGCAAGCTTCTGGACCAGGCAAACTCGTGGACCAGGCACGCTCCTGAACCACGCAAGTTCCTGGACTAGGCAAGCTCCTAGACCAGGCAAGCACCTGGACCAGGCAAGCTCCAGGACCACGCAAGCTCTTGGACCACGCAAGCTCTTGGACCAGGCAAGCTCCTGGACCAGGCAAGCTCATGAACCAGGCACGCTCCTAGACTAGGCAAGCTCCTGGACCAGGCAAGCTCCTGGACCAGGCAAGCTCCTAGACTAGGCAAGCTCTTGGACTAGGCACGCTCCTAGACCAGGCAAGCTCTTGGATCAAGCAGGCTTCTGGACAAAGCAAGCTCCTGGACTAGGCACACTCCTGAACGGGCACGCTCCTGGACCAGGCAAGCTCCTAGACCAGGCAAGCTCCTGAACCAAGCAAGCTCCTAGACCAGGCACGCTCGTGGACGAGGCATGCTCCTGAACCAAGCAAGCTCCTAGACCAAGCACGCTCCTGGACTAGGCAAGCTCCTAGACAAGGCAAGCTCCGGGACCACGCATGCTCTTGTACCAGGCACGCTCCTAGACCAGGCAAGCTCTTGCACCATGCACGCTTCTGGACCAAGCAAGCTCCTGGACTAGGCAAGCTCCTGGAACAGGCACGCTCTAGGACCAGGCAAGCTCCTGGACCAGGCAAGCTCCTGAACCAGGCATGCTCGTGGATCAAGCAAGCTCTTGGACCAGGCAAGCTCCTGGACCAGGCAAGCTCATGGACCAGGCAAGCTCCTGGACCAGGCACGCTCGTGGACTAGGCACGCTCTTAGACCACGCAAGCTCTTGGACCAGGCAGGCTCGTGGACCAGGCACGCTCAGGGACCAGGCAAGCTCCTGGACAAGGCAAGCTCCTGGACCAGGCACGCTCCTGGACCAGGCACGCTCCCAAACAAGGCAAGCTCCAGGACCACGCAAGCTCTTGGACCAGGCATGCTCCTGGACGAGGCAAGCTCTTGGACCAGGCAAGCTTGTGGACCAAGCAAGCTGCTGAACCAGGCAAGCTCATGGACCACGCAAGCTCCTGGACCAGGCAAGCTCTTGGACCTGGCAAGCTCTTGGACCAGGCAAGCTCCTGGACCAGGCAAGCTCGTGGACCAGGCACGCTCGTGGACGAGGCACGTTCCTGGACCAGGCAAGCTCTTGGACCAGGCAGGCTCGTGGACCAGGCAAGCTCTTGGACCAGGCAAGCTCCAGATCAGGCAAGCTCCTAGACCAGGCAAGCTCCTGGACCAGGCACGTTCCTGGACCAGGCAAGCTCCTGGACCAGGCACGTTCCTGGACCAGGCAAGTTCCTAGACCAGGCAAGCTCCTGGACCAGGCACGTTCATGGACCAGGCAAGCTCCTGGACCAGGCACGTTCCTGGACCAGGCAAGTTCCTGGACCAGGCAAGCTCCATATCAGGCAAGCTCCTAGACCAGGCAAGCTCCTGGACCAGGCACGGTCGTGCACCAGGCACGCTCCTGTCCAGGTCCACGTCCACGACCATGACCACGTCCACGTCCACGTTCACGTCCACGTCCACGACCATGTCCACTTCCACGTGCACGTGTACGTCCACGTCCATGTCGACGTCCACGTCCACGTTCACGTCCACGTCCATGTCCACGTCTTTGCCACGTTCACGTCCACGTCCACGACCATGTCCACGTCCACGTTCACGTCCACGTCCACGTCCACGTTCACGTCCACGTCCATGTCCACGTCCACGTCCACGTCCACGTCCACGTCCACGTCCACGTCCACGACCATGTCCACGTCCACGTCCACGTCCACATCCATGTCCACGTCCAAGTCCTCCACGTCCACGACCACGTCCACGTCCACGTCAACCTCCACGTCCACGACCACGTCCACGTCCACGTCCACGTCCACGTCCTCCACGTCCACGTCCACGTCCTCCACATCCACGTCCTCCACGTCCACGTCCACGTCCACGTCCACGTCCACGTCCATGTCCACATCCACGTCCATGTCCACATCCACGTCCACGTCCACGTCCACGTCCACGTCCACGTCCATGTCCACGTCCACGACCACGTCCACGACCACGACCACGTCTACGTCAAGGTCCACGACCATGTCTACGTCCACGTCCACGTCCACGACCATGTCCACGTCCACGTCCACGTTCACGTCCACGTCCACGTATCAATGTTCACGTCCACGTCCACGTCCACGTCCGCGTCCACGTCCACGTCCACGTCCACGACCACGTCCACGTCCACGTCCACGTTCACGTCCACGTTCACGTTCACGTCCACGTGCACGTCCACGTCCACGTTCACGTTCACGTCCACGTTCACGTCCACGTCCACGTCCACGTTCACGTCCACGTTCACGTTCACGTTCACGTTCACGTCCACGTCCACGTCCACGTTCACGTTCACGTCCACGTCCACGTGCACGTCCACGTCCACGTCCACGTCCACGTCCACCTCCACGTCCACGTCCACGACCACGTCCACGTCCACGTCCACGTCCACGTCCACGACCACGTCCACGTCCACGTCCACGTATCAATGTTCACGTCCACGTCCACGTCCACGTCCACGTCCACGACCACGTCAACGCCCACGTCCACGTCCACGTCCACGTCCACGTCCACGTCCACGCCCACGTCAATGCTCACGTCCACGTCCATGTCCACGTCCACGTCCATGTCCACGACCACGTCCACGTCCACGTCTACGTCCAAGTCCTCCACGTCCACGTCCACGTCAACGTCCACGTCCACGTCCATGTCCACGTCCACGACCACGTCCACGACCACGACCACGTCCACGTCAAGGTCCACGACCATGTCTACGTCCACGTCGACATCCACGACCATGTCCACGTCCACGTCCACGTCCACGTCCACGTATCAATGTTCACGTCCACGTCCACGTCCACGTCCGCGTCCACGTCCACGTCCACGTTCACGTCCACGTTCACGTTCACGTCTACGTGCACGTCCACGTCCACGTTCACGTTCACGTCCACGTTCACGTCCACGTCCACGTTCACGTTCACGTTCACGTTCACGTCCACGTTCACGTTCACGTCCACGTTCACGTCCACGTCCACGTTCATGTCCACGTCCACGTTCACGTTCACGTTCACGTCCACGTGCACGTCCACGTCCACGACCACGTCCACGTCCACGTCCACGTCCACGACCACGTCCACGTCCGCGTCCACGTATCAATGTTCACGTCCACGTCCACGTCCACGTCCCCGTCCACGTTCACGTCCACGTCCACGTCCACGTCCACGTCCACGTCCGCGTCCACGTCCGCGTCCACGTCCGCGTCCACGTCCCCGTCCACGTCCGCGTCCACGTCAGTCCACGTCCAAGTCCTCCACGTCCAAGTCCTCCACGTCCACGACCACGTCCACGTCCATGTCGACCACGTCCACGACCACGTCCACGTCCACGACCACGTCCACGACCACGTCCACGTCCACGACCACGTCCACGACCACGTCCACGTCCACGTCCACGACCACGTCCACGTCCACGTCCACGACCACGTCCACGTCCACGTCCAGGTCCTCCACGTCCACGTCCATGACCACGTCCACGACCACGTCCACGTCCACGTCCATGTCCACGTCCACGTCCACGACCACGTCCACGTCCACGTCCACGACCACGTCCACGTCCACGACCACGTCCACGACCACGTCCAGGTCCACGTCCACGTCCATATCCACGTCCATGTCCACGTCCACGTCCACGTCCACGTCCATGTCCACGACCACGTCCACGTCCACGTCCACCTCCACGTCCAAGTCAACGACCACGTCAACGTCCACGTCCACGTCCATGTCCACGTCCACGTCCACGTCCATGTCCACGACCACGTTCACGTTCACGTCCACGTCCATGTCCACGTCAACGTCCACGTCCACGTCCATGTCCACGTCCACGTCCATGTCCATGTCCATGTCCACGTCAACGTCCACGTCCACGTCCACGTCCACGACCACGTTCACGTCCACGTCCACGTCCACGTCCACGACCACGACAATGTCCACGTCCACGTCCACGTCCATGTCCACGTCCACGACCACGTCCACGTCCACGTCCATGTCTACGTCCATGTCCACGTCCACGTCCATGTCCACGTCCACGTCCATGTCCATGTCCACGTCCACGTCCACGTCCACGTCCATGTCCATGTCCATGTCCACGTCCACGTCCACGTCCACGTCCAAGTCCACGTCCAAGTCCTCCACGTCCATGTCCACGTCAACGTCCACGTCCACGTCCACGTCCATGTCCATGTCCACGTCCACGTCCACGTCCATGTCCACGTCAACGTCCACGTCCACGTCCACGTCCATGTCCATGTCCACGTCCACGTCCACGTCCACGTCCACGTCCATGTCCACGTCCACGTCCACGTCCACGTCCATGTCCACGTCCACGTCCACGTCCACGTCCACGTCCACGTCCACGTCCATGTCCACGTTCATGTCCACATCCATGTCCACGTCCATGTCCACGTCCACGTCCATGTCCACGTCCACGTCCATGTCCATGTCCACGTCCACGTCCACGTCCATGTCCATGTCCACGTCCACGTCCACGTCCACGTCCATGTCCACGTCTACGTCCACGTCCACGTCCACGTCCATGTCCACGTCCATGTCCACGTCCACGTCCATGTCCACGTCCATGTCCACGTCCACGTCCATGTCCACGTCCACGTCCATGTCCATGTCCACGTCCACGTCCACGTCCATGTCCATGTCCACGTCCACGTCCACGTCCACGTCCACGTCCATGTCCACGTCTACGTCCACGTCCACGTCCACGTCCATGTCCACGTCCATGTCCACGTCCACGTCCATGTCCACGTCCATGTCCACGTCCACGTCCACGTCCACGTCCACGTCCACGTCCACGTCCACGTCCATGTCCAAGTCCATGTCCACGTCCATGTCCACGTCCATGTCCAAGTCCATGTCCACGTCCAAGTCCACGTCCATGTCCACGTCCATGTCCACGTCCAAGTCCTCCACGTCCACGTCCACGTCCACGTCCATGTCCACATCCACGTCCATGTCCACGTCCACGTTCACATCAATCCACATCCAAATCCTCCACGTCCACATCCACGTCCATGTCCATGTCCACGTCCACGTCCAGGTCCACGTCCACGTCTACGTCCATGTCCAGGAGCTTGCCTCGTCCAAGAGCTTGCCTTGTCCAAAAGCTTGCGAGGTCCAGGAGCTTTCCTGGTCTAGGAGCTCGCCTGGTCCAAGAGCTTGCCTGGTCGAGGAGCGTGCGTGGTTCAGGAGCTTGCCTTTTCCACGAGCGTGCCTGGTCCAGGAGCTTGCCTTGTCCAGGAGCTTTCTTGGTCCGTGAGCTTGCCTGGTCCAGGAGCTTGCGAGGTCCAGGAGCTTGCCTGGTCCAAGAGCTTGCCTGGTCCAAGAGCTTGCGTGGTCCAGGAGCTTGCCTGGTCCAAGAGCTTGCCTGGTCTAGGAGCTTGCCTGGTCCAGGAGCTTGCCTGGTCTAGGATCTTGCCTGGTCCAAGAGCTTGGGTGGTCCACGAGCTTGCCCGGTCTAGGAGCTTGCCTGGTCCAGGAGCTTGCCTGGTCCTGGAGCGTGCCTAGTCTACGAGTTTGCCTGGTCCAGAAGCTTGCCTGGTCTACGAGCTTGCATGGTCCAGGAGCGTGCCTGGTCGAGGTGCTTGCTTGGTCCAGGAGCTATCCTGGTCCAGGAGCTTGCCTGGTCCAGGAGCTTGCCTGTTCGAGGAGCGTGCCTGGTCCAAGAGCTTGCCTGGTCCAAGAGCGTGCATGGCCCACGAGCGTGCCTGGTCCATGAACTTGCCTGGTCCAGGAGCTTGCCTAGTCAAGGAGCTTGCCCCGTCCAGGAGCTTGCCTGGTCCAGGAGCTTGCATGGTTCAGGAGCTTGTCTGGTCTAGGAGCTTGCCTGGTCCAGGAGCTTGTCTGGTCCAGGTTCGTGCCTGGTCGACGAGTTTGCCTGGTCCAGAAGCTTGCCTGGTCCAGGAGCTTGCCTGGTCTAAGAGCTTGCATGGTCCAGGAGCGTGCCTGGTCCAAGAGCTTGCATGGTCCATGAGCTATCCTGGTCCAGGAGCTTGCCTGGTCCAGGAGATTGCCTGGTCCAAGAGCTTGCCTGTTCTAGGAGCGTGCCTGGTCCAAGAGCTTGCCTAGTCCAAGAGCGTGCATGGTCCACGAGCGTGCCAGGTCCAGGAGCTTGCCTGGTCCAGGAGCTTGCCTGGTCAAGGAGCTTGCCTGGTCCAGGAACTTGCCTGGTCCAGGAGCTTGCCTGGTCCACGAGACTGCCTGGTCCAAGAGCTTGCCTCGTCCAGGAGCGTGCACGGTCCACGAGCGTGCCTGGTCCAGGAGTTTGCCTGGTCCAGACGCTTCCGTGGTCCAATAGCTTACTTGGTCCAGAAGCCTGCCTGGTCCAAGAGCTTGCCTGGTCTAGGAGTGTGCCTGTTCCAAGAGCTTGCATGATCCAGGAGCTTGCGTGGTCGAGGAGCTTGCCTGGTCCAGGAGCTTGCCTGGTCCAGGAGCTTGCCTGGACCAAGAGCTTGCCTGGTCCAAGAGCTTGCGTGGTCCAGGAGCTTGCCTGGTCCAGGAGCTTGCCTGTTCTAGGAGCTTGCCTGGTCCACGAGCTTGCCTCGTCCAGGAGCGTGCCAGGTCCAGGAGTTTGCCTGGTCCAGAAGCTTGCCTGGTCCAGGAGCTTGCATGCTCCAGGAGCGTGCCTGGTCCAGGAGCTTGCCTGGTCCAGGAGCTATCCTGGTCCACGAGCTTGCCTGGTCCAGGAGCTTGCCTGGTCCACGAGCTTGCCTGGTCCAGGAGCTTGCCTCTTCCACGGGCATTCCTGGTCCAGGAGCTTGCGTGGTACAGGAGCTTGCTTAGTCCAGGAGATTTCCTGGTCCAAGAGCTTGCCTGGTCCAGTAGCTTGCCTGGTCCAACAGCTTGCCTGGTCCAGGAGCTTGCGTGGTCCAATAGCTTGCTTGGTCCAGAGGTCCAAGAGCTTGCCAGGTCCACGAGCGTGCCTGGTCCAAGAGCTTGCGTGGTCCAGGAGCTTGCGTGGTCCAGGAGCTTGCCTGGTCCAAGAGCTTGTCTGGTCCAGGAGCTTTGCATGGTCCAAGAGCTTGCCTGGTCCAAGAGCTTACGTGGTCCAGGAGCTTGCCTGGTCAAGGAGCTTGCCTGGTCTAGGAGCTTGCCTGGTCCAGGAGCTTGCCTGGTCCAGGAGCGTGCCTGATCTACGAGTTTGCCAGGTCCAGAAGCTTGTCTGGTCTAGGAGCTTGCCTAGTATAGCAGCTTGCATGGTCCAGGAGCTTGCCTGGTCCAGGAGCTTGCCTGGTCTAGGAGCTATCCTGGTCCAGGAGCTTGCCTGGTCCAGGAGTTGCCTGTTCCACGAGCGTGCCTGGTCCTGGAGCTTGCCTTGTCCAAGAGCTTTCTTGGTCCGTTAGCTTGCCTCGTCCAGGAGCTTGCCTGGTCCAGGAGCGAGCATGGTCTACGAGCGTGCTTGGTCCAGGAGCTTGCCTAGTCCAGGAGCTTGCCTGGTCAAGGAGCTTGCCTGGTTTGGGAGCTTGCCTGGTCCTGGAGCTTGCATGGTCCACGAGCCTGCCTGGTCCAAGAGCTTGCCTGGTTTAAGAGCGTGCATGGTCCACGAGTGTGCCTGGTCCAGGAGCTTGCCTGGTCCAGGAGCTTGCCTGGTCCAAAAGCTTGCTTGGTCCAGAAGCCTGCCTGGTCCAAGAGCTTGCCTGGTCAAGGAGCGTGCCTGGTCCAAGAGCTTGCCTGGTCTAGGAGCTTGCGCGGTCCAGGAGCTTGCCTGGTCCACGAGCTTGCCTGATCCACGAGCTTGCCTGGTCCACGAGCTTGCCTGGTCCAGGAGCTTGCCAGGTCCAGGAGCTTGCCTGGTCCATGAGCTTGCCTGTTCCACGAGCGTGCCTGGTCTAGGAGCTTGCCTTGTCCACGAGCTTTCTTGGTCCAGGAGCTTGCCTGGTCCAGGAGCTTGCCTGGTCCAAGAGCTTGCCTGGTCCAGGAGCTTGCCTGGTCCAGGAGCTTGCCTGGTCCAGGAGCTTGCCTGGTCCAAGAGCTTGCCTGGTCGAGGAGCTTGCCCGGTCCACGAGCTTGCCTGGTCCAGGAGCGTGTCGATCCACTAGCTTGCATGGTCCAAGAGCGTGCCTGGTCCAGGAGTGTGCCTGGTCTACGAGCGAGCCTGGTCCAGGAGCTTGCCTGGTCTAGGAGCTTGCCTGGTCAAGGAGCTTGCCTCGTCCGGGAGCTTGCCTGGTCCAGGTGCTTGCTTGGTCCACGAGCCTGCCTGGTCCAAGAGCTTGCCTGGTCCAAGAGCGTGCATGGTCCACGAGCGTGCCTGGTCCAGGAGCTTGCCTAGTCCAAAAGCTTGCTTGGTCCAGAAGCCTGCCCGGTCCAAGAGCTTGCCTGGTCCAGGAGCGTGCCTGGTCCAAGAGCTTGCGTGGTCTAGGAGCTTGCGTTGTCCAGGAGCTTGCGTGGTCCACGAGCTTGCCTGGTCCAAGAGCTTGCCTTGTCCAAGAGCTTGCCTGGTCCAAGAGCTTGCGTGGTCTAGGAGCTTGCCTGGTCCACGAGCTTGCCTGGTCTAGGAGCTCTCTTGGTCCAGGAGCTTGCCTGGTCCAGGAGCGTGCCTGGTCCACGAGTTTGCCTGGTCCAAAAACTTGCTTGGTCCAGGTGCTTCCCTGGTCTAGGAGCTTGCATGGTCCAGGAGCGTGCCTGGTCCAGGAGCTTGCCTGGTCCAGGAGCTATCCTGGTCCAGGAGCTTGCTTGGTCCAGGAGCTTGCCTGGTCCAGGAGCTTTCCTGTTCCACGAGTGTGCCTAGTCCAGGAGCTTGCCTTGTCGAGGAGCTTTCTTGGTCCAAGAGCTTGCCTGGTCCAGGAGCTTGCCTGGTCCAGGAGCTTGCCTGGTCCAAGAGCTTGCCTCGTCTAGGAGCTTGTCTGGTCTAGGAGCTTGCCTGGTCCAGGAGCTTGCGTGGTCCAAGAGCTTGCCTCGTCGAGGAGCTTGCTTGGTCCACGAGCTTGCCTGGTCCAGGAGTGTGCCTGATCCACGAGCTTGCCTGGTCAAAGAGCGTGCCTTGTCCAGGAGCGTGCCTGGTCTACGAGCGAGCCTAGTCCAGGAGCTTGCCTGGTCCAGGAGCTTGCCTGGTCCAGAAGCTTGCCTGGTCCACGAGCCTGCCTGATCCAAGAGCTTGCCTGGTCCAGGAGCGTGCATAGTCCACGAGCGTGCCTGGTCCAGGAGCTTGCCTGGTCCAGGAGCTTGCCTGGTCCACGAGCCTGCCTGGTCCAAGAGCTTGCCTGGTTCAGGAGCATGCATGGTCCACGAGCGTGCCTGGTCTTGGAACTTGCCTGGTCTAGGACCTTGCCTGGTCCAAGAGCTTGCGTGGTCCAGGAGCGTGCCTGGTCCGAGAGCTTGCGTAGTCCAGGATCTTGCATGGTCCAAGAGCTTTCCTGGTCCAGGAGCTTGCCTGGTCCAGGAGCTTGCCTGGTCCAAGAGCTTGCGAGGTCCAGGAGCTTGCCTGGTCCAGGAGCTTGCCTGGTCTAGGAGCTTGCCTGGTCAAGGAGCTTCCTTGGTCCAGGAGCGTGCCTGGTCCACGAGTTTGCCTGGTCCAGAAACTTGCCTGGTCCAGGAGCTTGCCTGGTCTAGGAGCTTGCATGGTCCAGGAGCGTGCCTGGTCCAGGAGCTTGCCTGGTCGAGGAGCTATCCTGGTCCAGGAGCTTGCTTGGTCCAGGAGCTTGCTTGGTCCAGGAGCTTGCCTGTTCCACGAGCGTGCCTGGTCCAAGAGCTTGCCTTGTCCAGGAGCTTTCTTGGTCCAGGAGCTTGCCTGGTCCAGGAGCTTGCCTGGTCCAAGAGCTTGCCTGGTCGAGGAGCTTGCCCGTTCCACGAGCTTGCCTGGTCCAGGAGCATGTCGATCCACTAGCTTGCCTGGTCCAAGAGCGTGCCTGGTCCAGGAGTGTGCCTGGTCTACCAGCGAGCCTGGTCCACGAGCTTGCCTGGTCCAGGAGCTTGTCTGGTCAAGGAGCTTGCCTGGTCGAGGAGCTAGCCTGGTCGAGGAGCTTGCCTGGTCAAGGAGCTTGCCTGGTCCGGGAGCTTGCCTAGTCCACGAGCCTGCCTGGTCCAAGAGCTTGCCTGGTCCAAGAGCGTGCATGGTCCACGAGCGTG